TTCTGGGAGTTGAAGTCCACTCATCTTAAAGTGGCCAAGTTTGGACAACACTGCCCCAGGGAGATAAACCTTCATTTTAAGGATAGCTTCGCTGCGCCTCCATCACCCAGGCATCGTAGGCAGTCTTGACTCCTGCCAACTACATGGACATGTCCTGGCACTTTTCTAGCCAATGTTGCCCTTGCCCCCTTCTTCCTGGGGCTGAGAGAAGGGACTGCCCCAAGGTCACCCAGCTGGCTTCATGCCCAAGGCAAAACTGGAATTCACAATCCCCTAGTTTCTAGTCCAGTACCTTTAATCACTACACCAAACTAGCTCTCCTATTCTCTTGTATGTATGTATGTATGTTACAGATGTTCACAGGACAAAGAAAAGATGCTATCTTTAGAATATGTATTACTTTTTCATCTCAAAAAGCCAGGGTGGGCAAAACGCAACTCTTAAAAAAAAAAAATTCTCAAGAAACTCTCCTTCCCCCTATATAACACAAACTAACATCCCACCTCCAAACCGTGGACGGATTATCCTCCATGCAGATCAGGCTAGACGTCCCGCTCAGAACATGGGTTCAAACGAAAATATTACGAAGCCTAAAAATACATTTTCCCCACCTGGCCTTTCCCCAGCTCTGCTGGCACTCACTTCCTCAAACAATCCTGAACAATGTGGGATTCCCGAGAAGTCTGCGAGCCCAGCTGGAGGGCACCTGGTTGGAGAAGAGCAGACGGGCAAATGTCCAGCGTGTCAGAGAGCGCCTTAAGGATATATTTGTTTACTGCAGACTTGACTTGGCTTAGAAATTTGGATGCCAAGTTTCTATTAACAGGGCAAGGCTGCAGAACAGAGAACCAAAGGACCAGTTCAGCAAAAACACACCCAAAATAGATGTCGCTATTACAGACCCCCAGCGCCTTCCCCCACCGCACAGACACCCAGTTCTTCCGTGTCATGCCCCTCCATTAATAAAAGCTATGGGACCTTCTCATCTGGCAGAACACCCCTCCCAATACTCTTTGGCTCAGTTGTGCAACTTATTTGCTCCATTCCCCCCATATGTGAGGTCTGCCCCAATAAATCACAGGGCTTAACATGGTGCTCCCACCATGTACAAAGACAAGGGCTGGGCGACAGGCTGCGCCCCAAATTGCAAACTAGCCTAACTCAGTTTAACTTAGTCTAGTGCAGTGGTTCTCAACCGGCATGCTGGAGCACACAGGTGTGTCACGGGCTTGTTTATACTGTACCCAAGACGTTTGTCTTATGTTATATTTTTCAATACTTTTTGTATTATGTATATTCGGTATAATCCATATATTCAATACAGTGCAGATGCTAAAAAAATTGTATAACCCGCTCAACCCACACCTTTAAAAATACGTATACCCGATGATTAATCTTCTGGTGTGCCCCAGAATTACCGCGATGTTCAATACTGTCCCGTGGATTCGAAAAGATCCAGCACTCCTGGTCTGGTGGGTTGTGTGAGCCCCGTCAGACGGCACGCCCCAAAGCCTCTCTCCTTTTTGGGGCCCCCTTCTCTGCTTCAAGCCTTCCTTCAAAAAACATACATTTCCTGTGCAGGAGCAAAGGAAGCAACTTTGAGAGAAAACGGCGAGGTTCAACCACGCTCTCCACACACGGGACTCACCCGCCTTCAGCTCCCAGTGCCCGGCAGCCAGAAATCCTAACCCCTGGATCTGCGGGGGATTGGCTCATCTCTCCTAAATCCCACGGCGGTGGGGGTCGGCAGAGAAAAACCCGCTTGGGGGAGAGGGGTTGACTCAGGTCGTGCGCGCAACGTCTTTGCCTGGACCTCTCATCCTAGCCTGCAAGCGTTCAGGGTCTCTAGGACGGAGACCACACGCATCCCTTCCTCTCCGGGCCCGAGGGGGCAACACGGGGGCTCGCGAGAGCCATCAAGGGCCCCCCAAGAGATCCGCAGCGAGAGGAGGACGGAGAGACGGAGAACTGGAACGACCGGCGTGCCTAAGAGGATAGCTTTAACCTAGAGATTAGATTCATTACCTGATATATTAATAGCGCTGGCTTTGCCAAGAGAAAGGCAGCAACACAGCCCGGTCTGAAGCTACTCCAGAAACGCCAAAAACATCAAGGGCAGAGGCGAAGCTGCTTCGGACATTTGGACTAGATTTTAGGGCCCGACGGAGAGACGCGGCGAGGGAAGGGGTGGCGTGGCGTGGTGAGCGGACGGTACAGAGTCCCCTGGGGCCAGTGTGTGCAAGTCTCTGGAAGACGAGCATCTCTTCTGCTAGAGATGTGGGGGTTAGCCCTGGGTTCTTCTACACCGGGGGCGCAGAAAGCCCCCACCTCTATAATTGCTAAATGGCAGAGTTCCCTGCTATTTTGAGGGGGGAAACAGACACAGGACTATAGTCTAAGCCAACATTTTTCAACCTTGGCCACCCTTATAAGTGTGTGCGTCTACACCCCCCAATCCCCCCGC